TTTCTGAAATGCATGGGATTCTTGGATGGACTGAGCAGTTCAGATTTCAGTCTCAGGTCACGGGACGGCTCCTGGACTGGGCTTTCAAAAGTGAACTGACTCAAGAGAAAAACAAAGACACTGCAAATCACATGTGAATCCTGAAAGGTTGAGCTGTAGTGGACACCGCGGTCGCCTGAACACACGAGCTAGATTCTGTTTGTACTTATGACAACAGCGAATCCAAAAACAAGACGAGCTGTTTCAGACAAGTTCAGACTCAGGTCATGAGACTCCTTCAAAGAGCTCAGGACAGAACTGGAGCCAGGTTCATTACAAATACCTGCAGCTATAAATATCCAGGGACTTTTATGAACTATTAGCACCTCAAAGTGAGACTAAACACCTGAACTCTGCCCACAAACACATTCCAACAGAAACTGGGCGGAGTCTGGAGGACTAAAGAGAGAGTGAGGGAGAGGGAGGGGCGGAGCCTGTGATTGGTTTTGCAGGTATCCACACTCCAGACTCCGCCCCTGCAGTCAGGTGTTTGCATAGTAGTACAATGCCCAAGAACTCAAGATGGCGTCGTGTTGTTTTCAGGGGCCTGTGCTCATTGGCACATGGGCCCAAAAATCATTTGGTCCAAATGAGTGGAGCATTTGGACCAATCAGAGCGAGAGCTGCTAGAGCAGAGCGAGGCTCAGTCTGACAAAGATCACTTTCGGAGCTTTGAGGATTTAAACATTTTAAAAAGTTTATGTTGTGAAAATAGAAAAGAATCCTACAAAATCTGACCTTTGTGAAAGCCAGATGCCCCGTCAGAACACGGACAGTTTGAATTCCCAAAATGTGGGAATTCCCCAAATGGGCCCAAACTCTCGGGAGCTGCAGTACCTGGAGCGACCACTAGTCTGTCTGGAGCCGGGACAGAGGGGGAGGGGCTTGTCCAGATTTTATTATAGCTCCATGGTTGTATGTGGGTCCAGTCAAGTGGTAACGGAGGGAAACGGGCAGATTTTTGACATTCAAATAGTTCTTATTCAGAAACTAGAGGGACTATTGAAATAAGTAAAGTATCAGAATGTAGGAAAGAGTTTACACTCCAACAGGGTCAAGTTAAACCTGTGATATTCTTTCAAGTTGTTGACAAAAAATTTAAAAACTCATGTCGGTAACGGAGGGAATGAAATATGCAGCACTTTTTGGGCAATAAATCCAAACAGTGATAACTAGTGGTTCTCACTTACATATCCTTAACAAACTGGTTTGAATATTTGCTTCATATAGTTTTCTACCATATGGTACAAGATTAGGTTGAAAAACATCTTACTTTTTGAGTCATGAGATTTTTTATTAAGAAAGGTCATGGTAACGGAGGAAAAAGTAACGGAGGGAAAATTGTTCAAACAAGTAGAAGGTGCAGGATTTTACATAATTTGTCAACTTTTTTCTTCTGAATACTTTAATATTACTTCAAAATGAAAGGAAACTATTTCTATAAAATATGTCAGTCCTTCCAAGCAAATTTTTATCATCTTAAATACATAAAAAAATAAAATAAATCATGTCCCTTCATCAACAGTTCAAAGATGGAATAACACAAGATATGATGAAATACATCCATTTATTTACATGATTTGCAGGTCTTTGAACTTTGGGAAATAATTTTTGTTCCATGTTTCATACATGGTCTGTTTAAAACGTATGGAACTTTAGAACCAAAAATGGTCCAGAAAAAAGGTCAACAGTTTCATAATCTAGAGTACATATGTATCTGTTCAATACATTTTTATATCACATGCATTAACTTGAATTTTTGGCCTTGTTGTTTACTTCTGCTTGACCGGGTCCATGTAATTATAAATATCAGGCTGTAATCTGTGCAGTCGTATGTGATGTCACATAGTACTTGAAACACTACTGGAGGCAGCCCACACACACAGTTCTTTTAACACTTTACACTCAAATAAGTGCCAGAAAGACTGAGATGAGCAGACAGTGCTGTTAACACCATGAAGTGTTTAGCAGCATAAACCTGACTCAGTGTTTAGTGTCACTTTAAACGTCCGTGTGATGCTGTTTCTTGATCTCTGCTCTAATGTTGTTTCCTCATCACAAACACACCTGCAGTTGTGTTTAGTATCATTCACACATGTTTAACACACAGACCCTTTAGTTGAGTTATTCTCTAAAACAGAAAACACTCTGGTCCACCTTGTGATGTCATGTAGAAATACAGGAAGTGCTCCACTGTGTTTTTAAATGTGAACCATTTGGATAATTAGAGTCCTGGAATTGCTGGTCTCTACTGACCCAAGGTAAAAGGGGCTGTTAACATTAAAACAACCCATCTGTGACATCACAAGGTGGAACAGTGCATTTGGAGACTTGGGGATGAAGACAGACTAATAATAAAGAATGACTCAAACATGTGAAAACACAACTCTGGCATGTTTTTGAGGAGGGAACAACATTCTAACATGGATAAAAGATCACATGTGTCAGTTTTGCGTAATATGACCTTTAAGTATAAAAGGGGCGACAGCAGTAACAGAGGGAAGTGTTGAGCAAAAAACTACAGGAAATCTGCCCAGGAAGTGCCCACGCTGTGACCCTTCCAAAACAATCCAGTTAAAAACACCAGAAAGTCCCCATAACGTCAGTGTTCCATTAGGCCAGCAGAGAAACAACGAGAAAGTGACTCCATCTTTCATCAACATCTGACAAACATGTGAAGTAGAATGAAAACCAAGAGGGAGGGGCTGAGTGTACACTGTGTTAAACTTAACAGCACCTGTCATGAGTTAGTGCTAGTGCAGCCTCTGCAGCTCAGGGAGGGAACTCTGGAGCTTCTGAGCTTCACATGAGGCCTGAACATATACGTAGAGACAAACTTGGATGTGTCTTTGTCTGCAGGTGAAGCCTCTGTTCACTTGTGGTTGTAGTGACCAGTTAAACTGGTCATAGAGCAGGCTACAGAGCCTCCCTTTAAAGATGTGTGTGTGTCACTCTAAATGAGAGGGGGATGTGAAATATGTCATCACCTCTATGGCTACGTTCAGACTGCAGAGTTTAATGCTCAATTCAGATTTTTTTGTGAAATCCGAGGTCGTTCACATTTCCAGTTAAATGTGACTTGTATGTGACTCCAGTGTGAACAGTAAACAGGCCCAAGTGTCCCACATGTGACACTGGAGACACGACGACGTCAACCGCAGCGAGCGTCTCTGTGTTTACAGAAGTTGTCCAAACATGGACGCAGCATCGAGCACCTGGAGATTTTAAAGTTCCTCTCGTACCGGAGCCAGAACATGAACAACTTACTTGTTTTAAAGAGGAGATTGAGAAGGAGAAGGACGAGGTTTTTGGCCGTGGTGTTTTGTGGGACAGCGGCATTGAAAGGAACGTGTGGATGTGGAGACGGAGCCAAGAGTGGTGAGTGGTGATGTGCTTTACTTCAGTGACACGGAGTTCATTAACAATTTTCTCCTACTTCAGCGCAGAATAGTGACATTTGTGGCTTGTTGATAACGTGTAGGTGGATGAATGCACTTTAGCCATTCAGACTGAAGTCGCATGTCAAAAGATCAGATATGGTTTCAGGAGCACATATCCAAGTGTCCTGGGTCACATTTGAAAAAATCGGATCTGTGTCATTCAGACTGTCATTAAAAGATCAGATACAGGGACATAGAGGCCAAAAAATCAGATTTGGGTCACTTCAGGCTGCAGTCTGAACGCAGCCTAACACTGCGGTTGTTGTACTTGTGTACGACTGTTGTCACATTTCAAACTCAATATCAGTACTAAGGAACAGACTCGATACTCAACACTGATTCAAATACCACAATGAGAATTTTAAAAAAAAAAACAACAACAACAAAATTTCTTTAGACAAAACAATCTGAAGAATCTGATAAGTTCTGATATAAACTTTTCTCTTCTCATGTATGTGTTATATGTGTGTAATGGTCAGTGGTGCAGTAGGTTCATGTTGGTCCGTGTGTGTACTAGTCTATGTGCTTTGACACTTGTTCTCATACAACTCAACATCAGGAAAGACTCGTTTATGTCCTGTGAATATTCTGAAGACTTGTTAGTCTTGATATCTGCTCAAATCTAATTCTAAATCTCAATCAAATCTAGTTTCAATGGTACAATACAATAGTTTTAGTACTGATCAGTATCAGCTTTTGAATACTTTTGGCTCCCTCCTCCCTCCTGACAGCACGCTCAGTGTTTGTAGTTCCTTCTTTAAAGCATTAAGATCACAGGCCACTTATCCTCCTTTTAAAGATTTTTGTGTGTCACACTCAATGACAGGGCACACGTGAAATCATGCGTCACCACCTCTGACACTCTGACACTGCTCTTACTGTCGTGTGCTGACTTGAAGCTCTGCAGAGGTGAATGAGCCAGGTGAGCGTGCGTGCATGTGTGTGTGTACGTGTGTGTGTGTGTGTGTGTGTGTTTGTGTTTGTGTGCGTGTGTGTGTAACAGTGTTTCTGTGTGCTCTGGAGAGAATCCGCTCACTCAGCACACAACATTACTGTACTGTAGTTCTATTTTGAATCTGTTTGTTTGTGAAACTGATGAACACTACACTCTTCAGCATGACGAAGAATCTTCATCTATCACACAGTCAAAAGATCTGACCCCTCATGTGTCTAAAACTGAGTCAGAGTCATTGTCAGATTTGAAGGTATTTTTGGGTAAAGTTATAATTGTATTTGCTGGTTTGACATGAGCAGCAGATGTAACACAGACATGATTATATAACGGTTACCTAGCAACTACAACGTAAACACAATCCAAACAAGTTATGATTAGACTAATCACATGTGTGAACTGTACTGTACTGATTACACAGGCAGAGGGTTTCAGTGCTATTTCCTGTATTTTTGTATTTTCCTTCTGAACTTTTTGCCACAAACTGATGTAAAAGTGCTAAATGTTCAGCTCAGGTCTCCCACCAAACCAAGTCAGAATTAGAAAAACATGTTGTGGACTTGTCTTACCTTTGCTCTGTCCTTGGGGTCCTTGGGGTCCTTGGGGTGCTGGTGGTTGGATCATTTGCCCGGGCAGCCCGGAGGTGGTGTTGGTGCTGGTGTGGAGCGCCGCCTGAGAGAAGGAAGCGATCCTCTGGAGGATGGAGCCCACGCTGTCCCCTAGCTCGTCTTCTTTGTCCCCCTGTGAGGACATGGGACTCCTGGGGAAGGAGACACTGTCCACCTGCCCCACCTGAGGACCTGACAGGAGCTGCAGCCGGGGGGTCTGGGCGGGGGACAGGGGCACCGGGCAGGGGCTTACTCTGGGAACTCGCTGGGGGCCGGGCGGTGTGACGGGTGTAAAGACGGGCGGCGGGGTGACGGGTGGGTAGAGGGGAGGGATGTCCGAGCTCTCCAGACTGCTCAGGGAGGCCGACGAGCTGACCATCCCAGAGCCGGGGGAGCGTGGTGGTGGGACAGCGGTTCGGGGGGACATTGTCTCTGGAGGGACAGAGGGACCGGTCACTATACTGTCCAAGTCCAGGGGGAACTTGTTGAGCTGGGGGGTCTTCCTCGGACTTGCCGGGGTGGCTGGCTTTGGGCTGTGGTTGTTGAAAGAATGGATCTCTTCTCCGAAGCTGCCGTTACTACGGAAACGCCCGTTCCAGGTAGAGTTAGCATTAGCATTAGCACTGACAAACTTGAAGCCGGGAGAGAGGTGCTCCGACGCGCCGCTCCTCCCCACAGCGCCCCCTGCGTCTCCGTTGGGGTTGTGCAGGTCTGAGGTGGGTTTGGACTCCTGAGAGAACTTGGTGTGGTTGAAGTTGGCGTTGATAGGCTGCTGGTGGGCGTTGTGTGGTGGGTACTCTTCGGGCGTGCGGGGGGAGGGGTAGGACAGGAGCTTGGACCCCCCTCCGGCGTACTCCAGGCTGGACGTGGAGCTGTGCAGGCTGTCGTTGTCGCTGCCCGCCCCGAACATGGCCGAGTATCCGTTGGGGCTGAAGCGGCTGTGGAAGGAGGCGGCGCGAGTCACGCAGGTCCCGTTGGTGTGCAGGGGCTTGCTGGGAGTCCCCTTGTTGAAGGACAGGCTGGCAACCACAGCGCGGGGCCGGGACGGAGAGGGGCCCAGGGGAGACGGGTAAGACCGGGTGGGGGACTGCAGAGCGGGTTTGGTGTGGGTGAGGTAGTAGTGAGGGGAGGCGGGGGGCAGAGGGGAGCAGACCGGAGAGGGCGAGGTGAAGGTGGGGATGTCCTCCTCATCGTCAATGTCAAAGGACCTCTTCAGAGCTGTGGAGAGAGAGGACTTGGTCAGAACATGCAGAAGAGAAACAGGACGACTTCAGCGTCAGACAGAGGGCAATGTGAGAGGGAAAGTGTCTTTCTCATGGGCACAACAACAGTAGCCCCACACTCGAGGGAGGGGGGCTCTTTGGAACTGAAACCTGAGTTCCTGCAACTAAAGCAACACATCCTGGGCTGTTCTTGGCCAGGACGAGCTGAGCTTGAGGGTTTGACCTGCATGTTTTGGGCTGATGGGGGAAACTGGTGGCCTGATTCATCAGATGGTTTGACTTCATGGAAACAGAATTAGAATTCATTCGCTCGGCGGTAGGCGGGTACTTTTTTCATTTAACCAATCGCTGCTCTTTGGTCATGATGTATGTAATGCGCCGCTACCGCTGCTAACTGGTATATAAAGCTTTTCCCAAATCCTGCAGAAAGAAGGACAATAACGTCTTTCCCCTTCCCTTTCTCAGGAATCTTTGCCAACACAGAATGTCTGTCTTTGTCTACATCCACCTCAACCGCTGTGTTTACTGTCGTGCTGTTCCACAAAAGGGAACTAGTCACGGCTCCACAGCTCACAGGGGGTACCAGCCTGGCTACTTAACCTGAGTGTCCGGAGGAAACCCAGCCAGACACAGGGAGAACAAGTAAATTCCACCCAGACACAAAGAGAACAAGTAAACTCCACCCAGACACAGGGAGAACAAGTAAACTCCTCACAGACACAGGGAGAACACGCAAACCGGGGGATGGACATGCTAAGCCCTCTCAGGTTCTGTAGTGGCTGTGGTGCTTCTGTGGATGTTCCAGAGTGTTCCTTTAGCTCCAGCAGCTCTCCACCTCCTCCAAACATCTCAACACATTTCTGAAGGATCCTGGGCTGAACAACTCACATGTGACGAATGAAGCGCCTGTTTCCACTGTGAATGTGTGATTGTGACGCTGACTCTGTGCACTCATACCTGGATACTGTTTCTGTTTTAAAGCATCTCACTGTTCCTGTCTAAAACTGGGCTGAGGTGCACTCAGTGTTGGGAAGGTGACTTTTAAAATGTATTCCCCTACAGATTACAGATTACACACCCCAAAATGTAGTTTGTAACATAATCCATTCATTTACTTAAAGTGAGTAACATAATCTGAATACTTTGGATTACTTGATTTGCTGTAGAGAAGCAAAGACGAGAATATTGTAATAAGATGTTTTGTCTGATAAAAGAAAATAAAAAGCCCAGACTTTACTGAACCAAATTAAAAATATTATTGATAAAAGAGGAGGAGACACGTCCACACAGCAGGATTTAGTCCTGTTAAATCCTGTTAAAACCAGTTTTAGTCCTGGTTTAGTCCTGGTTTAGACCTGGTTTTAGACCTGTTTTAGATTTAGATTAGACCTGGTTTTAGTCCTGGTTTAGTCCTGTTTTAGTCCTGGTTTAGACCTGGTTTTAAACCTGTTTTAGACCTGGTTAAGATCTAGTTTAGACCTCGTTTAGTTTCCGGCAATGAGGCAATGAGTGGAATTACCAAAAAAAAAAAAAAAAAAAAGGGGGGGATACTGCCCAAAATGCAAAAACAGGAAAATACCACCACGTATTTCAACAAAGTAACTGTAATCCAATTACCACTCAGTGAAACAGTAACTGTAACTGAATACAGTTACTCATAATTTGTACTCTGATTATGTAACTCCGGTACATGTAATCTGTTACTCCCCAACACTGTGTGCACTCATTTCTTGCGACTTCAGCTCTCCAGAAGTTTCATTTTGTAAAGGAAAATGGTTGGAGACACTTTAGATCTTCATCCAATAAGATGATTTTCCCCTTCACATGTGTAAATGTATGAAGCAGTTCATACACTGTACAAACACGAGGGCGGGGGTTCAAATCCTCCCTGCTCTGAGGGGCGTGTGTGTGCATGTGTGTGTGCATGTGTGTGTGCATGTGTGTGTGCATGTGCGTGTGTGTGTGAATTGGTGTACTCTCCTCTGAGGTCCATTGAGGTAAAGTAAATAAAAGTATAAACAGTGAGAGTCTTTGAGCGTTTCAGTCCCTCGGGTCACGACTCTCACCACGGTTCCTCAGGGGCCAAAAGCCAAAAGAATAATACAGGGTAATAAACGAGTATATGGTGGAGTAACCATAAGTGTACTCAAGTAAGAGTACAAAGTAATGGCCCAAAAGTAAAAAGTAACTACTCCCGAGTAAGAGGAGTAACTGACAGAACATCTGAGTGAATGTAATTTGAAGGACTAAACATGGACTAACACTCAAAATATGACACTGTACAATATATGACTCAAATACAAGTACTGCAACTTCAGTACCAGTATTAGAAGTACTCTGAAAAGTACATATTGTTTCAAACGTTAGTCGTGTTGGTGAGCACTGTGGTACTGTGCACACAGTGTTGGGGAGTAACAGATTACATGTACCAGAGTTATGTAATCAGAGTACTAATTATGAGTAACTGTATTCAGTTACAGTTACTGTTTCAGTGAGTGGTAATTAGATTACAGTTACTTTGTTGAAATAAATGGATTACATGCTGGTATTTTCCTGTTTTCACATTTTAGACTATATCCCTTTTTTTTTTTTTTTTTTTAATTCCACTCAATGCCGGACACTAAACCGAGACTAAATCAGGATTGAACCAGGACTGAACCCTAAAGTATCTAAATCAGGTCTAAACCAAGTCTAAACAGGTCTAAAACCAGGTCTAAACCNGGGAGGGATGTCCGAGCTCTCCAGACTGCTCAGGGAGGCCGACGAGCTGACCATCCCAGAGCCGGGGGAGCGTGGTGGTGGGACAGCGGTTCGGGGGGACATTGTCTCTGGAGGGACAGAGGGACCGGTCACTATACTGTCCAAGTCCAGGGGGAACTTGTTGAGCTGGGGGGTCTTCCTCGGACTTGCCGGGGTGGCTGGCTTTGGGCTGTGGTTGTTGAAAGAATGGATCTCTTCTCCGAAGCTGCCGTTACTACGGAAACGCCCGTTCCAGGTAGAGTTAGCATTAGCATTAGCACTGACAAACTTGAAGCCGGGAGAGAGGTGCTCCGACGCGCCGCTCCTCCCCACAGCGCCCCCTGCGTCTCCGTTGGGGTTGTGCAGGTCTGAGGTGGGTTTGGACTCCTGAGAGAACTTGGTGTGGTTGAAGTTGGCGTTGATGGGCTGCTGGTGGGCGTTGTGCGGCGGGTACTCTTCGGGCGTGCGGGGGGAGGGGTAGGACAGGAGCCTGGACCCCCCTCCGGCGTACTCCAGGCTGGACGTGGAGCTGTGCAGGCTGTCGTTGTCGCTGCCCGCCCCGAACATGGCCGAGTATCCGTTGGGGCTGAAGCGGCTGTGGAAGGAGGCGGCGCGAGTCACGCAGGTCCCGTTGGTGTGCAGGGGCTTGCTGGGGTCCCCTTGTTGAAGGACAGGCTGGCAACCACAGCGCGGGGCCGGGACGGAGAGGGGCCCAGGGGAGACGGGTAAGACCGAGTGGGGGGACTGCAGAGCGGGTTTGGTGTGGGTGAGGTAGTAGTGAGGGGAGGCGGGGGGCAGAGGGGAGCAGACCGGAGAGGGCGAGGTGAAGGTGGGGATGTCCTCCTCATCGTCAATGTCAAAGGACCTCTTCAGAGCTGTGGAGAGAGAGAGGACTTGGTCAGAACATGCAGAAGAGAAACAGGACGACTTCAGCGTCAGACAGAGGGCAATGTGAGAGGGAAAGTGTCTTTCTCATGGGCACAACAACAGTAGCCCCACACTCGAGGGAGGGGGCTCTTTGGAACTGAAACCTGAGTTCCTGCAACTAAAGCAACACATCCTGGGCTGTTCTTGGCCAGGACGAGCTGAGCTTGAGGGTTTGACCTGCATGTTTTGGGCTGATGGGGGAAACTGGTGGCCTGATTCATCAGATGGTTTGACTTCATGGAAACAGAATTAGAATTCATTCGCTCGGCGGTAGGCGGGTACTTTTTTCATTTAACCAATCGCTGCTCTTTGGTCATGATGTATGTAATGCGCCGCTACCGCTGCTAACTGGTATATAAAGCTTTTCCCAAATCCTGTAGAAAGAAGGACAATAATGTCTTTCCCCTTCCCTTTCTCAGGAATCTTTGCCAACACAGAATGTCTGTCTTTGTCTACATCCACCTCAACCGCTGTGTTTACTGTCGTGCTGTTCCACAAAAGGGAACTAGTCACGGCTCCACAGCTCACAGGGGGTACCAGCCTGGCTACTTAACCTGAGTGTCCGGAGGAAACCCAGCCAGACACAGGGAGAACAAGTAAACTCCACCCAGACACAAAGAGAACAAGTAAACTCCACCCAGACACAGGGAGAACAAGTAAACTCCACCCAGACACAGGGAGAACAAGTAAACTCCTCACAGACACAGGAAGAACACGCAAACCGGGGGATGGACATGCTAAGCCCTCTCAGGTTCTGTAGTGGCTGTGGTGCTTCTGTGGATGTTCCAGAGTGTTCCTTTAGCTCCAGCAGCTCTCCACCTCCTCCAAACATCTCAACACATTTCTGAAGGATCCTGGGCTGAACAACTCACATGTGACGAATGAAGCGCCTGTTTCCACTGTGAATGTGTGATTGTGACGCTGACTCTGTGCACTCATACCTGGATACTGTTTCTGTTTTAAAGCATCTCACTGTTCCTGTCTAAAACTGGGCTGAGGTGCACTCAGTGTTGGGAAGGTGACTTTTAAAATGTATTCCCCTACAGATTACAGATTACACACCCCCAAAATGTAGTTTGTAACATAATCCATTCATTTACTTAAAGTGAGTAACATAATCTGAATAGTTTGGATTACTTGATTTGCTGTAGAGAAGCAAAGACGAGAATATTGTAATAAGATGTTTTGTCTGATAAAAGAAAATAAAAAGCCCAGACTTTACTGAACCAAATTAAAAAAATTATTGATAAAAGAGGAGGAGACACGTCCACACAGCAGGATTTAGTCCTGTTAAATCCTGTTAAAAACCAGTT